AGATCTTCGAAGCGCATAAAAAAACCGAGAGAATAAATGAACTCTTTAAAATTCGCTACATTTGTTTACCATAGCGACACTCTGGCGCTAGGTTCACTTAACAGCATTATATTTCGTTCATATCATAAAGAATCTAGGAATCGTCACTTTAATTATAGTATTAACTACTAAAGAGTTTTTACCATTCTTTCAAATAGTGCCATTAGCAGTGCGCGGTTGTGCATTTTTGTGCGTAAATCAGTGGTGCGTAAAGCACCGCGCCCGTAGGCGAAATTTCGATAACATTCGCAACCTGGAATTCACACTAAAATTGTCATGAAAAATTTCGCGATCAATTATATACTATATTTATTCGCAGATTTCTCCTCTTCGCGTATTCCTGCCCCCCTCCTAGCATTTTGAGCACATGATTTAGGAAATTCTGATTTATGGTAGCAATAAAAAATATATGCAGAAGCAGAAAATCAATTTGTGTAAGTAAAAAGAATGTTACTGAAATTGATCAGTTCATTAAAATACATAATATATAATATTGGTGTATTTTTATGTGTGCTTTCCATGTGCTTTGTTTATCATTAAAGCCGTCTCATTTTAAATGCTATACACATGTATCCACCATCCCTGATTTCAAGCGGTAAGTAAATTAGTAGTAAAATACGGTGTATATTAACATTACTATAGAAGGGATATCTACAAAAAATGAAACAGTCATGAGAAATCTAAAAAGCATTATATTACAGTTTTTTCTTTAAATTTACATTTACAAACCAATCTAGTTCTGGAAACATTAGTGTTGTTTTACAAGGTACTTCACCCGTCTCCTTAGCATGCCTTCGTGGTGTAGTGGTCAGCACGCTCGACGCGTATCGAGAGGTCCGTAATTCGAGTCCTGGCGAGGGCGTTGCTCATTTTTCATGTCTCCTGCTTCGAAATAACCTAATGACTCTACATTGGCACCCGAACTAAAAGGGTGGTAAATGATGGTTCTCCATCACCAGGATTTGGCGATTGGTTTCCCTAATCCCCAGTCACCCTTTAAAAGGGGGAATATATAAGGTATTTCTACAGCCTTCATGGCATGCCTTCGTGGTGTAGTAGTCAGCACGCTCGGCTCTTATTCGAGAGGTCCGTGGTTCGAATCTCGAAAAGGCTCATTTTTCATATCTCCTGCATCAAAAAAAAAAAAAATCTAATGACTCTTCAGTTTCAAATGGCCCGACACTTGCAACTTCATAGATTCGTCGGTGGCGGTTAATAAATATCCGTTGGTCCTTTATCCATCTCATCATAAAACTCTCTTCACTCACGAGTGTAAATAACAAAATTTACACTGGTGAGGACGGAGATGCTCCATTCGAATTTTTGAATGAAGAGCACCTCAGCGGACGGATCCTAATACGCTAATATATGCATCCGAGAATCCGAGATGACAGTAATATATACACCTAAGAATCGCCCCCTCCTCTTCCTATACCGCCGAACCTCTTGAGAGGACATTCCGCCCGCCAGTATTTTAGCTGCTTCCATGCTGCACAGACATTATACACTTACAAACTTGTAAGCGATCTCCAGCTTTTGATCCCGGATCCACAGGCAGCCAGCGGGGCTAAGCACTGTACCAATCAGTGCAGGATATTTGATGCAATTAATGATATGAATGTATGGTGTAGACCAGCGATTCTCAACTGGTGGTACGTGTACCTAGTGGTACTCAAGAGAAAAATAGATGGTACGCAGAAAAAAAAAGAAAAAAAAAAAGTGTTTTTAACTTTTAAATTAAAAAATCTCGTGAAGGAAAAAAAATAATTGATAGAAAATTTCTGTGATCGAACTGAAGATTTAAAAAATAACACACTTGTTAACTTCAGACTGAGCTAAAAAAAGGAATTTAGAGGTATTTCAATTAAAGCTATTAAATTTTTATTGCCTTTTTGCTCAACCTATTTGTGTGAACAAGAATGTTCTTCCATAATATATTAAAAAAAAATTAAAAGGGATCCTAATTTACGGTTAAAGCTAGGTGAAAATGACAAGACATATATATATATATATATATATAATATAAAAAACTTATCTCTCTTAAACAGGCCCAAATTTCACACTAAATTTTAGAATTAAAATATTATAACTTAAATTTTATTAATTAAAATAGTAACCATATTTTTAATCTAATATTTTTTATGTGTGCATATTTGTTACGTAGAACCAGGGAAAAAGGTAAGCGGCAGAGACACACATTACGGCACAAGACAGAATACGAAACTTAGAACGAACAACTTGTACTTACAAACGCTTACTCAGCTTCGAATCTTATGGACGCCAAATCCGGCGCTATTTGGCGTGATTTGGCGGATTTGGCGTGAGCTTAAATAAACATCGTTAACAATATTTAATACAAATAGTCAACAGTTTGGGAAAATGGCAAAATATATATTTTTTAATATTTCTATTGAGAAATCGAAAAACAATCGTTGTAAAATGTAGTGGTGGTACTAAAGATTTCCAATTTTTGTTTAGATGGTTTTGTTTAGATGGTCATCTGAACATTATATAGTATATGGTATACGTAATGGTATGAATAATCATGTGGTTCTGCCTTTAATGGATAGATGGCGCTCTCGTCGCCCGCCGAAAATGTGTGAAAAAAATAACTTGATGTTTAGAATTCTCTTGATACTTGAACGTAGAAATATGCTTGATTCTTGAAATTTGAAATATTTACTGTGATTTTCCTTTCACTTCTAGCAGTGGAAATTATATAAATATATTCTGTTTTGTGTAAATAAATTGTTGTGTTTGTTCTGGGCAACTATTTATAGGGTGGGCCAAAAAGGACCTGCTAATATTAAACCCGGATAACTCTTGTAATAATAATTTATTTTGTTTAGTTTTTTTTTATGGTATACGTAATGGTATGAATAATCATGCGGTTCTGCTTTTAATGGATAGATGGCGCTCTCGTCGAGCGCCAAAAAGTGTGTTTAAAAAAAACGTGATGTTTAGAATTCTCTTGATACTTGAACGTAGAAATATGCTTGATTCTTGAAATTTGAAATATTTACTGTGATTTTTTCACTTCTAGCGGTGGAAATTATATAAATATATTCTGTTTTGTGTAAATAAAATGTTGTTGTGTCTGTTTGTGCAACTATTATACGGTGGGCCAAAGGAGCTACTAATATTAAACACGGATAACTCTTGTAATAATAATTTATTTTGTTTAGATTTTTTTATGGTATACGTAATGGTATGAATAATCATGCGGTTCTGCTTTTAATGGATAGATGGCGCTCTCGTCGCGCGCGGAAAAATGCGTGAAAAAAAAACTTGATGTTTAGAATTCTCTTGATACTTGAACGCAGGACTGAAGAGACTATTTATCCCTGCTTGAACGTAGAAATATGCTTGATTCTTGAAATTTGAAATATTTACTGTGATTTTTTCATTTCTAGCGGTGGAAATTATATAAATATATTCTGTTTTGTGTAAATAAAATGTTGTTGTGTCTGTTCTGTGCAACTATTTATACGGTGGGCCAAAAAGGACCTACTAATATTAGACACGGATAATTCTTGTAATAATAATTAATTTTGATTAGGTTTTTTTTATATATTAAATATATTTATGGAATTTATTTATGAAATATAACATCAGATAAATGTCCACCATTTTTCTCGATACAGAGATTGGCTCTTTTTAACGCGTTTTCCATTACATCACGTAATGTTTCTGGTTGAATGCTCAGTATTTCGTCTCGAATTTTCTGCATCAGCTGTCTAATAGTCTCTGGTTTATTAACATACACTTTGTCTTTTAACCAATTAACTGTGATTGACGAGTATACTCGTCATGGAGGAGCGGCCCAATTTTGTAAGTGACGAGTATACTCGTCATGCGTATATGAAATGAAAGATAAGAGGGAGGTTTTTTTAGCAAGTACTGTACATAATGAAAGTAATAGACAGAGAAAAGAAAATAATAACAAATGGTGTATAGTACCCTGTTTCCTGAATCTCCTCCACAGCAGGAATTTAAATTCTTACTTTTATATGTATAATATTTAATTTAATTGATTGCGTTTTTAGTTTAATATGTATGTAATATATATGCTTATGTTAACCAAATAAGTAAATATTAGTACTAAAATTTTCAATTTTCTAAAATAAACCCATATTTTTCATCCAATATCTTACAAGCGCAATTTACTCTGTGATGGACGAATATACAGTCATGGCTCGATTCTGGCGACACAAAACGGTGCGCACTCTTAAACGAGGGGGCCACAGTTAACTGGTTAAATATCCCCATAAAAAAAGGATTCTGCTTCGCCATTGGCAGCAAAACGTTTTCAATCATTGTTCTGTAAGAAGTTCCGGAAATCGTTTCCGGTGTTCCATCCTCATTCTGGAAGAAATGTGAGCCGATAATTCTATTGGGCATAACACCGCACCAAACAGTAGACTTGAATTAAAATATTGCCGATATTTACGCTGCATCATAACAATTGATCTTTGACAAGAATAAAACGCGTTGTTTTGCACTGTATGGTTCCATACTAAATTTCCAAGAATTCAATTATAACCTAGAAAAAAGAAAACATAATTATATAAAAAAATAAAACCGTTACTTGTGTTTGATATTGGTAGGTCTTATTTGGCCCACCCTATACCTCGGATCTATTGGATTACAATCTACATTTGTGATTCTAGAGCTGCTGTCTTAGCTTTGAACCATGGAATTTTTTTACACCATGCCACATTTTATTTATGATATTTACTGATAAGGAGTAAATACTATAATCTTAACAATATGAATATTATTGCGGAAAAAACGAAGTTCATAAATGTTAATTTTCAGCTACTTTGGCAGTTATTTGAATTGAAAAGGTACACATAAAACAATGAATACATAAATCTTATTACGTGTTTCATTTAATGAATGGTGACGTATAACAAGTAGATTTTTAAAACGAAATTTAATTGTTATTTCTTTTCTTTCAGGTTCTGATGAATCATTTGCAACATGTCAATATTCGCACAAACAACGACCAGATGGTATTGCACCAATAGAATAGGAGATAAATATATTTTGTTTGCTACCATGTAATTCTTCAAAAACAGCTGCAAAAATTTTATTACAAGCTGTGATGCCACGGTAGAGACAAATTCCTGTTTGAAAACCAATAAACGTAACTCTTCTATCGATAAATAATAACAAACTTTGAGGCATAAAATTTGGAAACATCATTTGAATTTAAACAAAGAGTAAAACGGGTGTATAATCGATAATGGGACATTATTTCAGGAAAAATAAAATATCTTCGCTTTTCACTTGCAAAGAATTTGGTTTAAAACGGATAAAATAATTGCTGTAATTATCAGTAAACACCCCTGAAAATGTTTATTTAATGGACTCCGAGCTAAACTATTGATTAGAAATGAAAAGAGGAATAATTTAATTATTTTCGTTAAAAGCAATTTTCAGGCACTGAAATGTATGATGAATGCTTTCTGTAGCATCGGTTCGTTGTGTAGGTTCGTATCTGTAGGGCAAGTGCATCACAGCTTGTTAAAAAAAAGCAGTTTGGATAAATGGACCACGTTTCTGTGACAGGATATGATGAATTAAAATATATTGTCTTGGAAATATTTTTGGTGCCATTTCTTTTTTCCAAGGAATAAAAGTAACCCGAGCAGACGTTTCTGACCCAAATCTAGGATATACGCAGAGACACTTTTGATGACTTAAATTACAGGGTTACCACAAATGTTTCATTTTTAAAAAGGCTATATTTTCAAAAGTATTTTACGTACACACATGAAAGGTATATGAAAATAACCACAAACTCATAAAGGTTTTTTTTCACTATTTCACTAAGTTTCTCGGATAACTGGAATATTGCTTCATCGCTGAATATCATCTTGGTGGCGAAATCTTCATCGTCCTCCAATGCTGTCACAAAAATCTAGTCCACCGGCGTAATCCTCCGTCTTTAACTGTTGCAGGAGCTATACATGGTACGGCTTGAAATGCAGTTGCTGGCGCAAAATCTTCCACCCGGTTTTTGCGGTATCCGGAACATCCGAGCCAATTGACAGAATGGCCATCTGGACAACAATGCTGGACGCCTGGACGTGTGTCGTGCCACCAAAGGGTCACATACTGAATATTTGTACAGGATGTATAAACTTGGTGAGTTTTTTATTCTTTTCGTATATCTTTCATGTGTGTACGTAAAATACGTTTGAAAATATAGCCTTTTTAAAACGAATGAATCATTTGTGCTAACCCTGTAATTTGGGATCTTTTTTTCCGTTACAGAACAAAGTGCGCCAATTGTTCACAAAAAGATACATGCACCTAACTTTGCTCGTTGGCTGTCTTTAACTTGTGTTGTTTTATTTTCCATACCAATACAGTTGTTTTCAACATAATTGTTGTCAAAAAGGTTTTAGAACATCACCAATTTTCTTCAGAAAATTACCTGCACCAACTTTTCAAATTTGGTAAGTGTTTTATCATTTCAGAGAAAAATTGTGTATCTTTCATACCACTTTTTTAGTATTATTTTATATTTTATGCATTACGCAGACGATTTGATATGCATTTTTGAAGTTTGAAAAAGGCTTAAACAATTTAGCGATATAAATTTATTGTAACTGATGTTTTTCCTTTATGCCATTTCGAAAAAAGAGATTTTACAACAGCGCTGTTCTTCCATAAAAGAAGGAAAACTTATATAATACATTTAACGGAAAAAGGGCGCAATTTAATAGAATGCTTCCTTAGCATTGCTTTAGATACGTAAACATTACGTTTCAATAGGAATAAATTGCTTCATGGCATAAACTTTCTTCCAAAAAGCTTTGTAATGCGTTTATTGAATAAAAGCACAAACGATTCATGCAACTCTCCCGTTTTTCATACAAATATTCAAAACGTGTGCATCGCCGTGATATCTTCCGGTCCAATAAACGTAATTTTTATCTGAAAATTTTTTAAACCTACCTCTTGCATTTTCTCCTGACCTCAAATCGAACATCATTTTGAATCTTGAAATCAGACATAAGGCATTTTGGAATTCGTGTCACTCCCTGTCATCTGTCTTCCCCAACCCTCATCGTCTATTCTTCCTAAAGCTTCGGGAATAAGAAAACGTTTTATCTCGAGGAAGCTGACAGTGAAATCTGTTCAAAATAAAAGATGGCTTTTTAGGAATATTTCAACTACATTGTTATCACCAATAGTTTTACGTGGAACGAGCTGTTCGACACACAATTCTTCGTTTTTAAATATTTCATGCAGCGGAAATATATTTGGTTGTTAGAGGAGATATTCTCCTGCTCTTTAAGCTGAATTGCAAAGGAAAAAAAAAACAAGTTCGGCTTGTTTTCACTTGTAATGTAATTCAGTTTTTTAGGATATATTTATGCGAGTGGGAATGTGGAATCGCCAATTTATTTTGCTGACTGTGGATGAAGAGAATGGGAAAAAGATAAATTTTCAGTTCATGAATATTTCAGGTACTGGGGGTGGGTGGAAAAAGACACAGTGAAGAAGAAATGGTAAAGCATATTTTATGTAACCATTTCTGTCTTTTAGCTAACTATTTATGTATTTTTACGTCAGTTGCAGTTACAGTAACAGTGAACAGTAAAATCTATAATATTTCTATAGATGTAGAGTTGGTACTTGAATTCCTCGACTCACGTTTTGCTTCCTTGTACGAAATAAAGGTAGTATTGTAATCGCGAAACATTTCGGGTATCATATTTCAACGGATGGCTCTCGAATCCATTTGAATGATTTTTTAAGTGACATATGTACGTACGGAAAGAATAAAGAACTCTTTTTTCCAAACGGATTGCAAAATCGATTTAGAGTAGAGTCACAAGAGATTTTTTTGTCGTGACGTCTGTACGTATGTATCTCGCAAAACTCAAAAACGAGTAGCCGTAGAACGTTGAAATTTTGCATATGGAACTTCTGTAACATGTAGTTGTAAACCTCCTTTTTTCGTTGCAATCGGTTGCACCAAACTTTTATATATATTACCACCCTGTTATCCAGTTAAGTTAGCTCAGTATTTTTGTTCTCATATGTTGGCAAATTGTGCACATTTTGTGTAAAAGTGGTTGAATTATGTTTTTCCGAAGTTTTGGTTGAGATTTTCATGCCTTTAGTTAATCTGCATTGAATAGTTTTAGAATTTTCAACCATTTAAAGGTTTAAGTAGCGCTTGGCCAAATAAGGCTGACATTTGTTTACAATTGAAAATCTTAATAGTGAATTAAGTCAGCTGTTGCACCAACTTCAGTGTCCTTCTGAGCAGCGGGACCAAAAGTTAACTTTCAATTTTGTGCACGAGACATTTGGCCTTCATGCCCGTTGGCCAAATAGCTTGTTTTTGGTAGAAACTTTAATTTTCACTGTAAAAAAAAATCTGAAAGCTTTCAAATTTTATATTATGCACAAAAGGGCGTTTTTTCATTAACACACGGATACACGGTTCGAGATCATTTGAGCTAAAAATATTTAAAAAGAGCATATCTTTAGAATTTCCGATAGAGAGTTTCGCGAGCTGAAAATAAAACTTTTATTCTACGGAGTATTGCCCCTGCTGGATTTGAAATCATTGAGTTTTTAATCAAAAATTCGTTAAAGTTTTACAAAATATGAAATAGATTAGAAGGTATTTCTCCCGCCTTCTTAGCATGCCTTCGTGGTGCAGTAGTCAGCACGCTCGGCGCGTATTCGGGAGGTCCGTGGTTAGAGTTCCGGCGAGTACATTGCTCATTTTTCGTCTATCTTGCTTTCAAAAAATAACCTAATGTCTCTACAATGGCGCCTGAACTAAAAAAAAAGTGGTGGATGATAATTCTCCACAACCAGGATTTGGCGATTGGTTTCCCTAATCCCCAGTCACCCTTTAAAAAGAGGAGCATATGAAGTATTTCTTTCTCCTTCTGCATGACTTCCTGGGGCAGTGTTCAGCGCACTTGGCGCGTATTCGAAAGGTTAGTGGTTCGAGTCCCGGCGAGAACATTGCTCATTTTTGACGTCTCCTACTTTAAAAAACCTAATGTCTCTACAAGATAATAAAAAAATCGGAAATTAAAAATCTGGCTTTTGACGAGATTTACTAATTCAATTGCGTTGTCAAATATATAAGGGCACTTCTAGTGATCGAGTTAAACCGCTGAATGCTAGTAATTCGACCTGGTTTGGATTTGAAGCCAGGCAAAGAATTTTGTTGCATGGTTGGTTTTTGTGGTTTTCCCCATGCGCAACGTGAATATGAGCCAGTATCTTTCAGAAAGACTAAGGCATCCCTCTTCGACTTTCTTCCACGAAGGCATCGTTCCTGTTAGGTAGATATCCCTCGTGGCTTTGCTATATTCAAATAAGCTAACCTAACTTAACCAACAAACTTAACCTTTGCCTTTTTACTTTTCTTTCTTTCTTAATTTTCTTACTTTTTAAATTTTCTTACTTTAAAAAGCATTTTTTAAAACTTGCATTTTAGTTGCCATATAAGCATGTATTTTTTTTTCAATAACTATCTTATAAAGAGTTTCGAATGGCTGAAAAAGCTGCAGACGCAAGGCGCAAAACATTGAAAAAATCGTATGATCTTTTGTTTTATTATAAGTTTATAAAATATATATTGAGTCTAACTTATACTATCATTCGTTTTAATAAAATAAGAGTTAATCTGCAATGAAACATTTAGAATTTACACATTTTAAAAATGATTTTGATAACGAATTAAAGTAAATGTTTTAGAATAAAAATTTCTGGTAGCAGTTTATTATTTGAAATGAGAAACATCGTCTGCTACTTTTAAATTCTTCTTCCTTCAAAATGTCGCACGTAAACAAGCTGTGGATTCAAGGATATATTTTTGCGCTTTACGAAGAAAACTATTTCCGTTCCATATTCGAAGATGTGAAATGCGTGGTATTAAAATTTGTAAGTGCAAAATAAGAAACATTTATTAATCGTAAAGGGAACAACTGCCAGTTATTATTTCTACATGGAAAGAAGACTCCAAAAGAATATCCGATAAAGGTATGTATTATTTCTAATGTCTAAGTTAAATCATTGGTAACAAGGGAAATTCACTAATGCAGAAATCAAATGCAGTCTTTAAATAAATTTGTAGTAAAAATAAATAAAATAAAAAACCAAGATTTAGAACTTAAAAAAGCTGAAAAAACAATATTATTTAAAAGCATTTGCCTAGTAATTTGAAATGTAGGTTTCTTTTAAAGAAATAATATTGTATGAATTACCAGGAGTTTATCCATGACTACTACTACGTTCTTTCTGCCAAACGATTTCTTCGCAAATTAAATTACTCGCATAATTTTCCCTTCTCGATTTTCAGATTAAAAAATTAGTTGAAAAAGAAAAATGAGCTAGTAAATACCGTATATTTTTAAGTCAACAATTCTGCCTTTGTTACTGGATGCATTAAATATAAGAATGCATATCTGATATAAAGGAAAATTTAAATGTATGTTAACTTTAAAGAATAAAGAGGCTAGATCGTTTAGAATGGAAAGCTTGGTGCCTCTTCTTTTCTGCTATCAAAGAAACGTTATTAATGATGGCTTATTGCCAATCATTGTTACGAAATATGAGAAAAATGCATCTTCAGATAAAATTAATTTTTCGGATTATGAGAGCAAACTATTTATCTCTGCAGCTAAGGGAAAAAAAAACTATTTGAAAATAAAAGTGCATATTCGTACGAACAACGAGGAAACAATTTATTTTTATAATTTGACGTCTTCTTTTACAAAACACTGTAATAATATTTTCCAAAGGTCTAAGTAAATTTGCATATAGTCTTACTACATACAATTAAATTTAATTTATAGTGGTAAAAGAAGAAAAGAATATTTGTTGACTAAAATTATGGAAGTCATTCATTTTCAAGCAGATTTAAAGTATGCAAATTTTTATTGTTGAGAGACATGTGTGTCAAGAATTTTATTTGATAAAATTTAATCACAAAATTGGTTTTTAGCCCAAAGGATCGTTACCCAAGAAGGGCTATTATTCTCAAAACGGGATTTTGCGTTGAATCACTACAAAAGTCTGAATCACTTTTCAAATTGTTACCAACAAATGTTATCGCTCTGTATAATTTTTAGAGAAATTAAATAATGAAGAATTTGCATGAATGTATGCATATTTTGTGAAAAAACAACGGTACTTAGAGCTATCAAATTGTGAATAACGTAATCATCCACCCGAATATGAACACCTGGAAGTCTAAATTTTGAATGTTTTTTATTGTGTATTTCATATTTTGTGAAACTTTAAAGAATTTTTGATTAACAAACTCAGTGACATCAATGTGAGCAATGACAACAGTGTACGTTCTTTTATAGTTAGCTTTATGAATTAAAATTTGAAATTCTGTTCAAACATTTGGTATCTTTTAACCCTTTGGTTAAAAAGCTAGTATCAAAAACAAAACAAGTACATTTTAACT